CATCTCATCTCATCTCATCTCATCTCATCTCATCTCATTTCATTTCATTTCTTCTCTTCTCATCTAATCTTATCTAATCTCATCTTATATCATCTAATCTCATCTCATCTTAACTCATCTTATCTATTCTTATCTCTTCTCATCTCATCTTTTCTCATTTCATCTCATCTCTTTTTGTATCTTTTTACGCAACACTTTTACTTCAAATGGAAGAAAGATAAACAAATATGCTAGTCACAACTTGAGGTCTATGCCCAAAACGAACTCGTGACAATGTGGTGTACTTATCGAGATTATACCCTGCACCGTCATGGTTCGAATCCCGCTAGGAGTGCTGATGCTAGCTTTGCGAGATTAAAACCTTTTCGTAAGACCCTGTGAAATTCAATGGAAACTTAAGGTGTGCTCAAATCATTATGGAAAAATTCAACTACAAGTCTTTCATTACCTGAAATTAAATTGGATAAACACTCATATATCGAGAAAAGTGTTTGCAAATTTATATATAGTCAAAAAGTGTAATTGTTTATAATAACATGCTACCTGAGTTGGAATCTTATAAACATATTTGTATTGGAGACAAACGTGTGGAGTTAAAATTATTGAGTGTGTCATGGATACTACATCTAGGTTGCTTGAAATTACTAATTGATATCGTTTTACAAACATTTTATGCAAGACTTGATGGAAGTGTTGAAATCGATTGGCCAATTAAAGCATTACTCAATATCTTTGCATTTTTTTATCGCTTTTACCTTCTATAATTGCGTAATTAAGCAAATAGATAAAACAAAATCCCAGAAATTTAAATGTATGTGTTTTATATTTAAGCTATCGCTTATTATTTTTATAATTTTATAATTTTATCAAGACTTTCGTATTAAGACTACCGAATTTCGTTGGATTTCAAACGAGTATGCTATCAAATAAAATAATGCTAATCCTAAGAGTGGTTAACTACTATTGGGTAATAAACCTTTACATCTGGACGACTCGTTTATGATTGGCTAAGATAATAAATTCGGCTGTTCTATCAGTTCTAAATCTCTTAAAAGAGCTAAATATTTCCTAATCTTTGTACACTCAAACCTGGCGTCGGTTTCTTGGCTGACTTTGGCTTCCATTGTCTATAATTAAGGAGTAAAGGCACTTTTACATCAAACTGGATGGAGCAATTTCATATTGTTTGTTCATTAAAGGTTTGTTCATTAGGTCAAGCTCAATTAAGCTTTTGGTAAAAATCAGACGAAATATATGTGAAAGTGTGAAAAAAAGCGATGAAAATGAGAGTTGAGCAAAATGGGACAGATGAAAAAAGATGGGAAGACAAAAATAATGATGCCTCAGGACAGAATTTCTCTAAGGAACAGCAAATTCCCTCCGAAACCACCTTCAATCCAGCCGACCGAAGTTCATTTTATAATCACGCAGGGTCTGAAGGCTCACAATCGAGTCAAATGCATGCTTGTCTAACATCGCCATCGAAACATGCAATTGAACATGTTGATCCCTTTTCACCTACCTGCGTCAGGCAGCCATTAGCTCTGCCGCCTCGGCCAGATTCTGTATCAAAAGTCCAGTCCATTTCTCACCAGTCCATACCTCCCGTGCCGCCTAACATGCCGGTTTCAAGTCCTGACAACTCTTGTCCTCCAGCGAATAGATATGCGAATATGAGCAAATCTTCGCGACCAATTTGTGGCACAGCAACAGGATCCTGGCTACCAAATAGCATCATGCAACCTCTTGCCGCTCTCAATTCTCGCACCAGCATGGACGCTGAGATTCGAGCCAGTCTCGGCCTGGCGATGCTACACTTCTCCCGCCGGACGACAATGCATGGAGTGGCGCATATTGCTCAAGCACGTAATAATCGTGGAAGGCTCTTCTGGCTAGCAATTATGCTGGCGGCTTCCGTGGGCTTTCTAATCAACCTCATCTCCATTGTCGACAAATATTGGAGTGTCCCAATCTTGACAAATACATTGCACGAGTCTGAAGGCTTTCAATTTCCAGACATTACTATATGCAATCTCAACCCCATCTATCTGCCGCCAGAAGATACGCCGGAGTACCGCGAGATGCTGGAATCGCTAAGGGCCTTTCAGAGACTACAGAAGCGGAAATCAGTGCTTAGAAACAGAATGTCAAGAGATAAACAACAGTACACAGAACCGGCGCGTCGAGTTCGCAGGCAGGCTTCGGGGTCGACAAATAAAACCGCTTTTCAGCATGCAGAAGAGTGGCAAGTATCAGAAAATACCTCTTCTCCCAGATCGGATCATACTCTGCTGGAGGAGTCTACAACTGATCTAGAAGAATTGTTCCGCCGACTGCAAGCATTGTCCAGGTCCTCGGGTAAAGACCTGTTGCGTCATCGGCGAAGTGGTGCCTTGGAGACCAATGACAATCCTTCAGAACCCACAAAAGTCACACAAATGTCTGGCAACAGTTCGGACACGCATGACTGGAATGTGAAAGGAGACAGAATGAGATTTGTCGATAAGGAGACGAATGAAGCTGAGCGTGAGAAAAGTGAAGAATTGGGATTAATTATGGATAAAATGACCGGATTTGTACACACCAACTTTGTTGACTGGATGTATACTCAAGGAAAGAAGTTCAGCCACCCAGCCTGGTCTTTCATCAGGCATTGTAAATTTCATAGGGACGACTGCAACTACTCGCATTTTTATGAGCAAAATATCTGGCCATATGGGAACTGCTTTACATTCAACCCGGAGTTGGCAAAATATACCAGAATCATCAACAAGAATATAACATTAAATGGATTTCTACCAAATTTTGAGGTAGGTCTATTAATTTTGGTAAGCATTTCTACTATTTTCTACCCAAAAAAAGAACTCAATTAAGTTCATATGTAATAC